TCTGTAGAAACTAGAAACTAAAACCCAATTAGCAAGTGAAGTTTATAGAATACGGATTATGGATAGGATCAGATTATTAGGGATTAAGATGCGCTGGTTAACAATAACATCCCTCAAGTAAAATAAAAAGATATTGGTTTCACTGTAGCAGCTTCTTTTCTTGACAAGTGGCAACTTCGATTATTTTAGTTGAATTCTTTCCTCCGCGTTTTCTTCGATTTGTCAAATCTACCTTGTATATAAGAAGAAAGCCAAGTAACTGTAGCAGCCTATCTTTTTGACACATGTATTACATATATTTTTGACAAGTGGAATCTTGATTATTTTAGCTAAATTTTTCCTTCACTTTTTTGATTCAATTGGGCCAAAATGATTAAAATATTTTTTCTTCTTGAGAAAATCAACTCCATTTCTTTTTCTTCTTCTCGCCACAGCTGTTATCATCCCTCACATTTTTTATTTTTTATTTTTTAAACCTAATCTAACTAAGATTGTTGTCATTTGTTTCGTCGAGATGATTAGCTACTTAACAAAGAGAAGTCTTTATTATTTTTTTATCCCATTTTACATTTTTTTTTTTGTATTTCTAATCTCTCATGTTTGTTCTATTCTTTGATCATAATGTTATAGCCAACTGGCATTTGTTTGTAAAATTTTTAGGATGACGTTGTTATTTAATATTTCTTCATGGATAAAAGGTAAAGTATTAAAATATGTAAAACAAATCTTAGAATTCATTTTATACCAATGATAATTTTCTATGAAGAATAAAACAAAAATTCATTCTTTTCTTTTCTTCTCCCAAGATTTGATTTCTTACTTCACATTTTTTCCTTTTCTTTTTTTTGTTACATTTTGTAATTATCTACAATTTTGTGTATTTTTTAGGAGAAAAGATATATCATGTGATGCTTCCACCAAGATAAATCTAACTAGAATTTCGTCTACCTTTGTTTTTCTCTGTTTCTTTCTCCCCCTCCCCCCTTTGGAATTACTTTATGGTCTATTCAATTTAATTGACGGATCGAATAAGATTTTGTATATATATTTAAACTAATGTTAATTTTTGTTTGTTTTTAATTACTCAAGTGTTGTAGTATCAATTGGGTTGGCATACAAGGATTGTAGTTGGTGATGGAAGTCACAGTCCAGACTTTCAGCCTAGAGTGTGACTTGACAAAAATTTGTTAGAAAATTCAATTTTGATTAGGAAGATGTTTTTGCAATAAAAAAAATGATTTAGTTCTAATTTGTATATGTAGATCTGGAAACGTAGTAATTCATATTTTTTTTTATCTAACCTTGCTATTTATATTATGGAGTTGTAGAATAATGTTGTCACCTTTAGGCAGGATTTAAATAAATGAACTAACTTCTTCTATCAAAAGAATGAAAATGTGAAAGTTTATGATAAGCTATATTGATGTTGAAGATTGTGTCATGTCTTAGTGGCTTTCTAAACTTTTTCTCATTATTTAAGTATTGGAAGTATTGTGACTGCTTTTGGTTTAGTTACAACTAAAACTATACTGCTATTAATACAGCAATGCGCTTGTAGTGCATTAATTCTCTCTCCTTTTTGAGTATCATCATAATAGTGGTTTAAAAATCTTTATTTAAATCACAATAAATAGGGGGGGTTGGTTTCATAGATAGAATTTCTCTTCACAACAAATTTTGAGGGAAATTTTATTTATACTCCATATTTCGTTAATTGTATTCCTACAATAAATAAAAACTATATGATAAAAATAATAATGGAAGTGCGATTAATAAAAATGAGGGTTCAAATAATATTTGACAATTTTAATTGTTTTGATACTCAATTTTCTCCTATGTTTCTATTCATTCATCATGTGCCAAAATAATTTGATGTTGTGTGTTGGACTAAATTTCTAGGGGGCCCAAGCTGTGCTTTGCACAGCTGAAGTACCTCTAGTTTAGTCCTAAAAAAGAAAAACTCTCCTCTCAAAGTCACAACACGATACACAGAAAACCTACCTCACCTTAGTTCTTTCTCTCGCCGCTATTACTTTCAACCCTTATTTCTTATTTGTTTCTTTTCATATTAATCACACAAACATTGTTGTCTTTCTGTATTTTAGGTTTGGTGATGGATAAATTGATAGATAGGATTAGCTCTTACCTTTTTTCACTCTGGTATAGCTCTTTCTTTTTTCCCTATATTTTCTTTTTATTAGTGAAAATCATCAACTTAAGTTTTCTTCTAGCTTAGTTTGTATTTTTTGCATATTATTCCATTTTGAGTTTTGGCTCCCTCCCTCTCTCTCTCTCTCTCTAATACGTATCGATGTTTCTCACTTTTTTTTTGGTGTGTTCGCATAATGACCAGCAGAAATTAATAGTAGCCCTGAATTGACCATTAATCATCTCACTAGGTCAAGATGGAATAATGTTAGTTTTCTTGCTTAGTTTCTTTTGGGCTTAAAAGAGAAACGTACAAAAAATTGACCTTTTACCCTGTTGTTCTTGCCATTTGTTTCTCTGGTATGCTTCTTTTCGTTTTACTTCTTCTTTTACTTCAATTGCATGCTGCAAATCATGGACTTAAGCTTTTACGTATTCTATAGACTTTGCTCCTTTTTTTTTTGTTTTTTTTCATTTTTTGGTCTCCTTATCCTCTGTATGTCTGATATTTCTCTCTTTAATTTTTTTTCGAGGACAAGATTGGCATCTTATTTATAGCCTCTGTCTGTTTTGCTCCTTCAAGTTGGCTCTCCTTTCGTAAGGTTTGTCATAAAACTTGATGTGGTCTCTGTTGGTATTTTACGTTGTTTATTATGTTCAAAGTTTTGCTTTTGTTTGTCAACTTTCAATGGGAGGTTTTCTGCATTCCATTGGGAAGTTACAAACCATTTATGTATTATTTTTATTTAGATACTATGTTAGGAACTGAATGTCGTGCTTATACTTTTATTTTTACTTTACACTGACTATTTGGTCTTTAGTTTAGACTTTTAGTTTTAGTTTGCTCAGGAGGGGGAAAGAAGGAGGCACAAAATGCAAAAATTGTCAGAAAGCTGATTAGACAATGGAGGAGCTATATAATAGTCAGCTGTTGCTAATATCCAACAATGATTGCCATGATACTTTAAATGTAAAAATAAATGATTTGCTTCATAAAAAATTTTTAAGATCATTCTACTGTTAGTGTTTGGATTGAAGATGATTTCACTTTATTTATACCTTATTTACACACACTGATTTGCTTGCATTATCAACACATTTTTCAATCATCTTTTTATCTCATATATATCATATCAAAAAAAGTGCTATAGTAAAAATATCTCAAATAATTTACAATCCAAACACTGAATTAATATAGAAGTGTGTCGCAAAGTTCCTGTAATGTTTGCTGAGTTTGATGTAACTCAAACCATGAAGGAAACAATTTATAGGAGAGAAATTATTCTTAGGTGGGAATGGAAATAGTTGCTAAGGTGCTACATCTTCATAATTCGACAAAGCTTGACTGCCATTAGTGTTTTTTTTCATAATCGAGATTTTGATTAGTTGAACTATAATACCTTATTTTGATTAATCTAGGTTTCTTTGGTGATTCGGAGTACAATCCGAAAGGAAATTTTTGACATATCTCTTGCTCATATTGGTGAGTGTTCTTGTGTGTTTGTACAACAAGTGACTATGTGACTATTTGTGAATGTTTGCTTGAATGTTAAATGCTTTCCAAGGATTGTTAAATGGATTTTTGATAGGCGAATGTGTACTTCATCGTACTCGACCCAAGTCAAAGTGAATTTTCAATGATTGAATGCTATTTTGTGCATGAATGTAAGCCTTTTGGCTGAATTGACCCCTTGCCCTTCGTTGCCAGTCGACTCGAGCCAGAAGCTGACTCGATCGGGCGGCTGGTGACCTTGGGATAGTATTTTGGTATACTCGAGTATGACTACGAAGGTTGGTAGAGAACTAGCCAGTGAATTGGCTAGTGGTGGGAAATGAAATCAATGATTGAATATCAAGAACACTGGAGGAGTTTTCACTTGCAATTTTTTTTTTTAATAATTGGAGGAATAAGGAAAATGGTTGGCGAGTGAATGAATAAATGGATCCACGTGAGCATGTATCCTTTTAATGAGTGTGTTTTCATTGCTTTTATATTGTAAATATTTTCCTGATTGATTGTGCTTAAATGACTAATGTTCTTATTTTAATTATTTGATTATGTGTATGGGAACTTCACTGGTTTTTTAGCTTATTCCTTTAGCGTAATCTAGTTTTTAGAAATTTTATAATTGTACTCGCGCTAGTGCTTAACTAGGGTTGAATGTATATGGAATTCAACACTTTTGTCATATTTGGGATTGTATGAATGTTTGAGATAGAAATGAATGTAAGTATCCCAAGTATGGAAACTGTTATTTCACTTATTCTCGAGAGTATACCTTATTATATTTGAAGAGAATGAATGAGTTTTGACGAGAGTTGGGCAGACGGTCCACCAAATCGTGGGGTACGCCCTAGGGAGAGGTGGGATCGTCACAAAGTCAATTTAATTTCTTTTCTTATTTGATTTTTTTTTGTATTAGTTAGAAATTAGTTTACAAATATATTTTTTTTTCTCATTTTTATTAGAAATTGTAAGTTTTGATAAATTTTTTCCGGTAAACCCGTCGGATTCGGAACATAGCGTAGAAGATCCATCGGGTAAACCGGTCGGATCTGGGTCCGATATGATGTGCTAGGTTTGGATCCGGGTTCAAAATAATGAATTCTGGCCCGGACCCGGCTCGTTGACAAGCCTTACAGATGCCACCTTTACAGCCGTTGCACAGACTACTGAGGACAATAGTATAAGAACAAGTTGTTCATGTCTATTAAATGAAAATACAGGTAATCATCACATCAGGAACTTGGTCAATAGAAATGCTTAAAATATGACCAATACAGATTATTTAAGGCGGAAAATGTTTGCAGGATAATGTATTCACCAATTTTGGTTATGTAAATCCATTCAGAATTGTTTTGGCACCTCTGACAAGGATGAGATCTTATGACAATATTCCGCGGCCACACGCTATTTTATACTACTCTCAGAGAGCTACTAAAGGAGGTATGCTCATAGCAGAAGCCACCATAGTTTCTGAAACAGGCCGTGGGTAATTACAGTGGCATTCTTATTTGAACTCTTAATCGCTCAATGATATTCTTGCGCAATTTCTGAACTCAGTGTTCCCTTATAACCAAAAATATGTCCAGCTATACCAGGCGTTTGGACAAAGGAGCAAGTTGGGGCCTGGAAACCCATTGTAGATGCGGTACATGCCAAATGTGGTATCTTATTTTGCCAGATTTGGCATGCAGGACGGATTTCAAATTACAGTGTGAGTTCTTATCTTGTTACAATTTTTGTAACTTTTTGTACTCTATATGCCGTGTTTTTCTTGGACCAATGCCCTACACATAAATGGACTACAAATCTTAAAGAAGACTCATATGACAAGACCTCTGTGGACGGTGCATTGTACCTTCAAATATCGATTGGAATCAAGCATGTATAGAACTCTGAGCTGTCTTGGAGGCAATTCATAATTCCTTTTCCTCTGTTGTGCAGTGTTGTATAAAATTGAGATTTTTTGTTTCTTACTTGTGCAGCTTGGGAGGCGAAGATTGGTTGATCTGTTTCATGCTTTTTTTTCCTATTCCAGGTTATCAGCCCAATGGACAATCTCCAATCTCATCAAAAGACGAGCAACTAACTTTCAAAGTTCAAAAGACCGGTGTGGATGATTATGAGTATCCAGCTCCACGATGCCTAAGAATAGAAGAAATTCCCAAGATTGTCAATGAATTCAGGTTATCCAATGCTATTGAAGCTGGTATTGCTATACAAAAAATATTTTGCCGTCATATTTTTGTTCATTATCCTGCAAAATAAATCTTCCTATTTGTTCCACCAATTATTTACTGCAACTGGCACCTACGAATGAGTGGATTTTAACCAAAATCCAACAAGTCGTTTTGACCTGAGGGATGGCATGAACCTGGACTACCTTCGTGAAGATGTCCATTGTGATAATAAGGAACTAAGAAAGAGAAAGGGAAGTCAAAATTTGATTGATTGCGGGTTAAATGATTTTCCTCTTTTGCTGTCGAGACATCGTCCCACCAAATGGTGGTAATAGTACAATTTAAGCCATTGACTCTCTGAACATCGTGCCAACTCAAGTGTCAACCTTTTGCTGCTTAGGTTCTGACTATCGATTTGCTTCTGTCATCAAGTTTCGTCAAAGCACCGTGCCCTTTCTGATTTTTTGTGCATCTTTTGCTAAACCAAAGGCTTTCTCATATATATATATATATATATATATATATATATATATATATATATATAGACAACTTTTGAGACGATAGGTTAGAGAAAAGAGATGTAAGATTTTTTTTTATAAGAGGTGAAAGATAAACAGGTAAAGCTTCAAAACTAATCAAATTATAAGTAAAAGAGATAATATAAGGTAAATTTGTATGATAAGCATTTTTTTTTTCTTTTCTCTAGGAAAAACTTGGTTGAATGATACATGTGGCTAATAAAAAAAGAGATATAATATAAGGTAAAGTTGTATGGTACGCAATTTTTTTTTTCTCTTTCTCTTGGAAAAATTTTGTTAAATGATATATGTGGCTGAAAAAAGTAAAATATTTATAATCTAAGCAAGTTTACAATGAATAATTTCTTTTATATATTTTTCGATCATATTTTTTATTTTAAATACATCACATTTTGCAAAGGTGCTAGGGTAATATTTCTCGAAAAATCCTCCAAGAAATACAATCCAAACGCGCTGTTAGCCTCAGCAATCACAACTACTCGCTTGGGCTGTGGCGGCCCCAAATCCAACACGGAAGCTGCTGCGGCGGCGCAACTTCACACATGGGCCACATGGCCAGTCTTTCGATGATGTAAGATGTTACGCTCTTTGGTAGGCTTGTTTGACTCCAAATTTGCGGGATGGGAATACTACTAGAAATGGACAACTTTTATATACTTTTGGAATCACGGATGACGTCACATCATTTTATTACTTTTTTTTTTTTTTTTCCCTTGATTTGGTTTTTGGTGCAATATTTTTTTCTTCGATGTGCTGAAATTTTGAAAAAGGAATTCGAAAAGCACAGATGAGATGTTAATACTCAAAAATACAAAAAATGTCTTTAAGCACGGATGATATGTCAATATTCAAAAATAAAAAAAAAAAATTTTTACCATTAAATATCGAGTACAAATATATTATTTAGCAAATCTGAGTAATTTACTATCACATATTACGTTTATCAAATGAACAGAAGTTTCTAATGCCCAATAAATTAATGTTTTGTGATGTGATGAACTTCAAATTTTGTTTGATGTTGTGAGGTCTTTATTTGTCCAATTGATGGTGTTAATTTAATCAAAACTAGCTATTGAATTTGTCACATAATTAGTCAGAATCGAAATAAGATTTCACATATATACATTGTGTTGTGATTTTTGTAATTTTTCATAAGATGTGACTATGTCAAACTAGGGTATGAAAAAACAGATTATGTCAAATATCACCACGTGAGAACCAAACCGGCCTAAAAAATTAGGTACGCGTGTGTGTTATTTTCAGTTTCTGGAAAAAAAAAAAAAAAAAGAGAACCAAACCGGCCTAAAAATAAGACCAAAAGATTTTGGGACGATTATGGTTCAAACATTAAACCCAAAAAAAGGAAAAAAAAAAAAAAAGGATCTTTGGACCCCACCCAGGTTGGCAGTCGCGAGCTTGCAACCAAGAAGATTCTTCTGTGAATTCTACTTGAACACTATAAATATGCATTGATGAGATAATTCATTCTCTCATCTGCGCAACTTCAAGCTACTCGAGGCATCAGAAAGAAGAAACTTTTTTGTATCATCAATTAAATTCTTGTTCAGTAAGAACCAGAAATGTCAAATAAGGCTGAGAATGGAGAACAGGAGCAACAGCAGCGTCAGTCTATCCTCCCTTTACTCACCCCATACAAAATGGGCAACTTCCAGCTTTCTCATAGGTACTCTTCCTTTTTCTTTTTTTCTTTATTTTCCTGCTAGAAATTTTCATTTTTTTCATTTTATTTTTTTTGGGCCTTGTCTTTTTGTAAAGAATATTGCATTCTGTAATGGAGAATAGAGTGTTTTTGTATTTCCTTCTTTTTGGATTTTTTTTTTCTCTTTTTTATGGGTTTATGAGAAAAAGTCTATTTTTCTGGGGAAATTCCAGTTGGGATTCTGCTTGGTGCATTACTGAACTAGTTACAACTATGTTTATTATTTTTGTAAGTATAACCAATTCAAGACAAAGAAAGGAAAGAATGAAAGAAAGGATTTCTTATGGCCTTGTTTTGAAGGATAATCAGAGTATATGTTGCATTCTCACTTCTCAGTTATCTTGCGGTTGGATTATTGCAATTCTGTTTAGTCTCTTCCTGAAGGTTTGTTTATAAAAGTCAAATCTTTGAAGGGAAAGAAGCTCTGGACATCAATCAACTGAAATGTGTCTAGATACATTGACTGAGACTATGAATTAGTGTTCACATATTATGATTTCTTTGGCCGAGTTTATGAACTGAAAATCTAGAAGAAGTTTTGTCTCATATTTAACCCCAAAAAATAAAAATGGAGGAAGAACTAAAGAAAGAGGGATAGTTGCATTTTATTTGTTCTTTCCATTATGCGGTCAATATGTGCTGATTTTAGATGCCAATTAGACTTCAGATAGTCAATTAGCTTTGATTTTATTGAAACATTTATGTGATTCATGTAAAAAGTTTTGCCAGAGCATCTCAGGTGGAGAATATGGTTCCACTTTAATTCCTTGAAACAGGGTTCAAAAATTAGGATTCTGCTTCTGGGTGTCCCCTAAGTTGAGGTTTGGAGTTCATAAAAGTGATCTTTCTTGCCCTTATGCAAATGCGGATCTATCCTATATTTGCTCAACGGACCAAAAGCAACTTTTTTGTTGGTTGCCAAGCCGATTTTTGTGAGATTGTGAACATTGTATATCTATATCCTTTAAAACATTTTTCTCCTTTTTTTTTTCTTTTTTTTTTGGGTCGCAAAAGAATCTAGTATTGCAATGAATTAGGCAAATATCAGGAAGCATTTCAAGTTTTAAATTTGCTAAATTGGAATGTCATAATCACATTTTTTTTCTTTTGTTGCTGGGATTGGATTATTTAGAATCCGGTGCTCCTGATACTTCAATTCAACTGAAAGAAAGAAATTGGAAACTAATTTGTTCACCATTTCTTTTCTGATTTCCTACAGAATTGTTTTGGCACCTCTGACAAGGCAAAGATCCTATGGAAATGTACCACAGCCACATGCCATACTGTATTACTCTCAGAGAACCACCAAAGGTGGTCTTCTCATAGCAGAAGCTACAGGAGTTTCTGACACAGCTCAAGGGTAATTGGTTTTAGTATTTCTTTCTATCTTACTGATTCATAGATTCCACGAATGCCTACACATTTGGCAGTACGTGTATTGTTTTACCTGTCTATACAAGAGTTTTATGTTTCTCCCAATTGTAGGTATCCAGATACACCTGGTATATGGACAAAGGAACAAGTTGAGGCCTGGAAACCCATCGTAGATGCTGTTCACGCCAAAGGTGGTATCTTCTTTTGCCAAATTTGGCATGTTGGAAGGGTTTCAAATTATAGTAAGTCCTTCTGTCATTACCTTTCCCTAATTTTCTGCCTTGTTGGATGTCAAATGTATAGTGGAATTCATACAAAGATCAGAAATGAATTGTTATTTAATATTCACTTGACAAGACCAAATCACTCCACATGATGTATTACAGTTTCGATTTTCTGTTGGGACTAAGCTTTTATGAAGTAATGATTGGACTTGTAGGCAATCCACAATATATAATTTCTTGTTATGCCGCGTCTCGTCCTACTAATGGTCCATATTATTGGTTATGGAGTCATAAAACCTCGTATTTCCTCTAAGATCTGCTTTATCTGACTGTCATTCACAGGTTATCAGCCCAATAGACAAGCTCCGATCTCATCTACTGATAAGCCATTAACTCCTCAACTTCAAGCGAATGGTGTTGATGTTGCGGAATTCGCACCACCACGCCGGTTGAGGACTGAAGAAATTCCTGAGATTGTCAATGACTTTAAGCTTGCTGCAATAAATGCTATTGAAGCTGGTAAGGATTTTTGTTATGATTAATATATATTTGAATCTGTAACGTTTGGATGTAGCTTTTTGAAGGGGAATGGTAAATCTGGTAACAGAGTTGTATACTTCATTTTGTGATGGTTTAAAGGCAGTAAATAGAGTAAAAAAAGAAGGAATTGTCTAATTAAGCAACTTAACTATTCCACAAAAAGATCAAAATATCTACAAACCTTGTGATGCTGCAACTTATTTAAAAAATTTGCCTTCTAGCTTAGAGCACAATGATCAAGTATTGCTTGCCCTGGAGGGCGGAACTATTCTTCAGGTTCTAAATCAGTTACCTATAAAACTGTGCTGCCTTGCTACTTTATGAATAAAAAATACACTTTTTTAAATAGTAGAAATATAATGTCTATTCTGACGTTACTTTGGACAACGGAGAATATGAGAACTATATCCTGAAAAGGAAGCTCAATCACATCTTTCTCTAACTTTATGTATTCCACAAATTATGAAGCAAAGGAAATTTGGGGGAAAGCAGGCTATGGTTCGTTGGCTAATATAGCCTGTTAAATTTTGCAGGATTTGATGGTGTTGAGATCCATGGAGCTCATGGCTATTTAATAGAACAGTTTTTGAAAGACCAAGTCAACGACCGAACAGATGAATACGGAGGCTCTCTGGAGAATCGTTGCAGATTTGCTCTGGAAATCGTTGAAGCTGTCTCATATGCAATAGGAGCTGATAGAGTTGGCATCAGGCTCTCCCCATTTGCAAGCTACTCCCAAGCAGGAGATTCAAATCCAAATGCTCTTGGTCTTTACATGGCTGCAGCTTTGAATAAATATGGACTTGCATACTGTCACATGGTCAAGCAGTCACTGAAAATCGTGCTGATCTTGTTGCTTATGGACGATTGTTCTTGGCCAATCCAGATTTGCCAAAGCGATTCGAGTTAAATGCTCCTCTGAACAAGTACAACAGAGCCACTTTCTACTTACCTGATCCTGTTGTTGGCTACACTGACTATCCATTTCTTGAAACCACAGCGTAATTCTAAACGAATATTCATTGTATTGATGGGTCAGAATTTTAAAGCATACGGCTTTTTCGTTACAGATTCTACTGCAGATATACAACTGAAAATTATATACAGAATTTCTTCAAGAAAAGCTTGGATGGTGACTTTTTCCTGTGATTGGGGTCTGTTTAGTTTTTTATTTTCAACTCAAAATATAGACACGGCTTCCAAATATTACACAAATTGGAAGTTCATGTTGCATCCTAAAAGATAACTTCCGCATTTGCAAATTGAGAAATTGTGCTAGTTAACGTTGCCTCCTGCCACTACACCTAAACGTATGGTAACTAGTTTCAATAAAGTAATTCATTAGACTAGAGTTTTCCAATTTTCAGTTCCTTGGGTACATATGTGTAAAGTACTTAGTCCTACAATAAAACTTGGATCACGAGAATTGTGTAATGCATAGAGCAGCCATGCATAAACTTGAATAATTTTCTGTTTCACGAGAAAGTTTGCTGTCAAATCTGGGCTGTAGGCCATTTTCCAGCCTGCTCCGTCCCCCTTATGCTTTGCGCCTCTGCCCTTGCTATACAAAGTGTTCTCGGAGCTACAGATGCCACCTTTACGGCTGGCCATCAGCTGCTGCACAAACTGACAGATGTCGTGCCTGTGCAATAATAAATACCTGCTTAAGAGAAATAAATTTTCTGTGTATAGTAGTAAGCAGGGTCGAATCC